CCATTTGGAGGCAGATGCCTCTTTGTTGTTGGGACTGTCCTGTGCACTGCAGAATGTTGAGTGGTATCCCTATATCCTACCTACTAGATGCCTGTAGCAGCCCTTCCCCCAGTTAGTGACAACCAAAAATGTCCCCAAGACATTGCCAAACGTCCCCTGAAGTGGAGAGCAAAAATCACTAGGCTAGAAAGAGATCCAGGAGCCTAGCCCTCGTCTCAGAGTAGGATCTAAGAAAGTGCTGAGTGAGACTCAAAAGGAGATTTAGAATGGTCTGTTCAGCAGTGGATTTGCTGGATAACAGATCCCAGCCTTCCAGACCAAGATGTTCCCGTGAGCCCCTCACCCTTTACCATTTACTCCAGGGAGTCACCGAGCTCTGAACAGGGTCCCTGCTTTGAGAGGAAGTGGTACCTCCCGTCTCTGTCTGGATCCATCCCTGAGGTATACACGGGGCCTGTGCCAACTGACACTGGTGGTTTCTCTCTACACCAAGTGCGAAGGTTCCTCCTTGGTCTATAATGAATTGTCCCACTTCTGAAGGACCCACACCATGGTTACAGATCCCTCGTTTGGAATTATGGAATTGAGCTAAGCTGAAAGAGGTCTGGAGTATATTCCTGAAGAAAAATCAAATCCTGAGGCTCTCTGGGATCAGCTCTCCCTGACATTCTCCCTATGGAGCTGTTATCAGAGAAATGTGTTTAAAACACCAAATTCAACTTCCACAACCCATTTGTGCTAAATAACTGTGAGATTGCAAGAAGGATTCACCTTCCTGTGCCCATACACAGCCCTGGAGGAGAAGCTCTGGGGAGATCTACCCAAAACTCCTCCCTTTCTAGGTACTATATGTTCCACCTTCTGGGACTTCCAGAGTCTGAGCAGGGTGGGGAGAGATGTGATTCTGCAACCATTCAAGTCCTCTGACCCCAGCAGAGCTGATGGATAAAGGACTGTGAGGTGAAGTTTTCAAGTACAAGATGTGGGGACAGGGGCCCACTTGACACCATGAAGCTCAGGTTTCTAACAGCTAGTCTTTTGTAGAGAAGAAAATAAGCTCCTCCTAGATCTTTATTTACCCAGAATGGAGACTGAAGGAGGGTGCAATATCCTGAAGACATTTCAGACAAACCTCAATTGCTTACCACCTATGGTAGCATTTTCAACCTCAGAATAACTGGCATTTGGGACCAGATCATTTTTTGTTTGGGAAGAGGCCCTACACACTGCAGGACGCTTAGCATCATCTCTGGTTTCTGCCCACTAGAAGCTACTGCACAGTTGTGCCCCGCCCCCTCAAAGAAAAATCAACCTCCCCCAGTTGAGGGCCACTGTCTTATTCTGCAAGAATGGACAGACTGCAGGGTTCCTAAAATTCAGTGTTATTGAAATTTTGGGCTAGATCTTTTCACTGAAACATGATTGTACGTATCTGTGGGGTACAGCTTTGAATATCAATACCTGTAATATGTGATGCTCATATCAGGAATAATTAGTATATTCAACATTATACGATGTAATCATTTTGTGGTCCTTTACCAATTTCTCGCTAGTCCCCACCCCCACCCCACCACTGGGCTGGATCATTCGCTTTATAGAAGGTAGAGGGTCCTGTGCTTTGTAGGATATTGAGCATGCAGCATCCCTTGTCTCCACTCACTAGCTGCCAGGCGTCCCCCTAGTTGTTAGCTCCCTAGAACTGAAAACCTGACTTTTAGAAAACCCCCACCCTTTGGTTTTGTTTCTCTAAATCTCGTTCCTCTAAGTTTCTATCTCCCTAAGTCTCTGTTCCCACCAGCAGGCTGAGCAAGCTGTACCCGAGTATAACATTGTAACTGCTTCCCCCAGCTAGCCCAAGGTTTGTCTCCCCAAGTCTCTGTTCCCATGAACAGGCTGTATCCAGAGTGGAACACTGTGACGGTCTTCCTAGGCTAGGCCAGATACCAATCTTAACCCTATGAAAGAAGACACCCAACTGCCTCTAGGCGCTGACACCATTTTTCAGCTCAGCCCAGCAGGTCCACCTTGCCGCTTGCTAATAAAATCTTTTCTTCTTTACCTGGCTAGTGTCTCCTTCCTCAGCGACCTTACACTTGTGGTAACCAAAATCATCTCTAAACGTTATCCAATATCCCATGGATGGCGAAGTTGCCCCTGTAGGACACTTTAGATCAGTTATCAAAACTTTGGATCCCTGAATTGGCCAGCCACCAAAAGTGTCCTAAGCTCTATGCTGTTTTGTCCCTTTTTTTTTCTTTTTTTGCACAAAGTGAGCCACAAAGCAAGCCACAGGTTTTACAATCTGAACATTGGTTTCAATTCTCGTTCTACTTCTAGACACCATGCCATATGAAGTCATTGAATCTTGTTTCCTTAAGTAGATAAAATGATTTTGGGGGGGAAATATTCTGCAAAGTTTAAATCAAAATCTAAGATATAATAGTCTGACCCAGACACCTCCCTCCACAATGGATCTTTGTTTTTCAAAAAATCCTACCCATGAGCTTCGTACCCAAATGAAACCCTAAATTTTAATTCATCCCACCACTAATAACTTGACCATTTCTGTATACTCCATACTCTCCAGCACAATTCCCATTGATGTGAACTATAGGCAAAGATTTCAAATGTAATTGCATCCCACTAAACACTATTACCCCAAAGCCTAACTTAACATCAAGCTGAGTATCACCCCAAAGACCAGAGCAATCTTGAACACTTGAGATTTACCTTGGACAAGGAACTGCAAATGACAGCAATGCTGAACTGTAAGATAAATTGGGTCCTTTGTGGTCTGAGTGATTAAGCCACTCTACTTCCATTCTTGAGATAACAAGAACTGTCCTTGAGAGTTTGTAACCTGGGCCAGCCAGTTAGCTCAACTGGTACGAGCATGAGGCTGATAACACCAAGGTCCCGGGTTTGATCCCTGTACTGACCAAAATATGCGTGTATAGCTCTCAACCGAAATCATTAACCATAGGCCACTGTTCTTGTAACTAGGACTTTACCACTTCCCTTATAACAATGTTCTCATTCTTAGTCACATCTTTTTTTTTTTTTTTTTAAACATTCTGATGTTGTTGCGGAACAGTTGGGGGAAAGGGGTAAAGAAATAGGGTGGGAGAAGGGGGCAGGGCTGAGGCCTGTGGCACCCCCTCAATCCTGTAGGGGAGATAGGGGACTTCCAGCGGTGTCTCGGTCATTGCTGGGCTGGGTGCACGTGTCAAGCAGGCAGTGCTGAGGTCTCCAGCCCTCCCCCCTCCCTGGCTTGGTAGCCCAGAGGATTTCTGGTCCTTCTAGGCTTTATAGGTGTTCTTTGGTGATGTGAGACCTTTTAGTTAATATCAAACTTTGTCTCTGGTTGTGGGTACTTTTTTTCTTCCAGTTCTGTGTTGGATTATTTGCTGTTTCCACCACTTAAGCTCTGCACTCAAGTTAATTTGTCCTTCGCTCGCTTCTAAAATGGGGGAACTTCCTGTGGGACCAGCACTTGAGCCCTGTGGTTGAACTAAAATTGCTGCATTGCTGCTGATTCCCTGGGCAAGGATTTTTGTGCAGCTCAGGTTTTAATGGTTGACTTTATAGGTACTACCAGCCCTCATGAGACCTGGTACACCTGGGTTGTGTAGAAACTCCAGTCTGGGCCCGAGTCTTTTTCAGCAAACTGCACCCCATGCAGTTCTATATTCCTGACCAGTCTCCACTGAACGGTCCTACACTAACTGGAGGGCAGATCAGCTGTCCCTGCTATTTCCCAGTGTTCCCGCAGTAGGCCTGTCCCCCACCACCCATGCTACAAACACTTCCCACGGGGTGGGCCCTGCACTAGTCTCTTGGGATGACTCACCATCGGCCTCTGGCTCCTTTTCAGTTGTTGTGGCTCCTCGTCCCTATGTGGGTCCACAGGAACCCTGTTAGTCTTGCTGGCCTCAGGGCCAGCAAGGCCCTTTTCTCCCCTGCAGCCTCTAAGCAACTTCATCCAAAGGGCACAGCTGGAGCTTTTGCCAGCTCCTGCTCCATGCACTCAGCAGCTCCAGCCTGGAAGAGGCCAGGGCTCTCAACAGTTGGAGGTGGTTCTCTCATCATGGTTTCTCCTGCCTTCATGCACTCCACGCTCCATAGGTCTTCTCCTCTTCCCCTGAGCTCTAGTGGCCCCAGCTTGGCTGTCACTGCTTTATAGTTGTAAATTGGTTCGTTTGTGGGAGAGTGACACTGGCAACCTCTATTCCACTATCTTGACTGGAAGCCATCCTCTTGAACTTGATGGAAAAATTGAGGATAGGGAAAAACTCATTTTTGTTAGTGCATGGGAACTTGTGCTAAGATAGTGGTGACTAAACTTTAAGATCTGGATTGGCTTTGATGCATTTTTTATGAATTAACAGCAACAGATTGTGGATAACATAGGAAAGGGCTATGTTTTCATGGCAATTGATGAGAGACTGACAACAAAGAGAAGGAGGACAGGGACAGATACAGAGCAACAGAGACAGAGGATATCACTGAAAGTTTAGAGACAGTGACGTGGCATATTTGTTTCATAAGTAATAGGATCTATTAGAACATGATTGGCAAACACGGCCCACAGGCCAGATCCGCACACTTGCCTGTCTCTAGTTTTACTGGAACAGTTATGCCCGTTCTTTCATGTATTGTCAACAGCTGCTTTCATGCTACAAGGGCAGTGTTGAATAGTGGTGACAGACCATGTAGCCTGCAGTGCTGGAAATATTAACTACCTACCCCTTTGTGAGAAGTTTGCCAACTCCTGGGTTAGAATATTATAAAGCTTGGTAGCAAGAACATTGGTCATGTAGACTCAGGCAGCTTTAAAGTAGGTCAAGAAATACTGAGCTGGGGAAGGAAAAAAAAAAAAAAAAATCAATGAAATTCTTAGTAATACTTTTTCCTAGACTTAAATATGCCAAGTATAAAATTTATTCCAAGTTTGCTCTTGGGCATGTTAATAAATGCAGCTTCAAACAAAGCGCTTTAACTTTTGTTTTATTATTCTTGTGAGAGATAACATTGTGATTATAAAGTGGATGTGACATGTATAGAATTTACTATAAGCCAGAGAGGAAAAAAGAGCAGTGCTAAATCCTACATTTTGAAACCTAATCTACTAACATTTGACCCTTTGACCTTCATTAATGAGATGTCTTAGATCATATCTCAACCGCCCACCCCAGACACACACAATGGAGAGAATGGTCTCAGGCTGCTCAGGAAAGAAAATCACAATATGACGATCTAGTTGTGCTAGCAACATTACATGCAATTGTCAGTTTGGGATTGCTTTCTTTCACTTCCTTCAACAGCTTCTGTATTTTCATATCATATTCATCTGCCTTCAACCTGGAAAATCAGAGAACATGTTTTCAGAGCACCTAGTTTTTTTATTCCAAGAATTCTAAACTGCCCAAAGTGCCTGAAAGCCTGTTTCAGGGCCCTCACAGCAGAAAACTTTTCTGTGGCATTCATATGGGTTCCTATTTAGTAGGTCCAGATTCTTTTTAAAAGTTATCAGGCTAAAGTCTGACAGAACACTGCAATGAGTTCACCATGGCTTCAGCTGTTTCTGTAGTTAGTATCTAATGTGAGCTAGAGCTGCTGTCTCTATACATGGTATAACTCAATGTCGAGCCCACCTACTGACAGTTTCTGTGCACCCTGACTTGAGTGGGCTGCAGCTACTAGCTAAAGAATTAAGGGGAGTCTGTGAGAGGTATGCGGCTCATTCAAGCAAGCTAATTAGATTACCTCCAGTGAATCTGGTTAGAAATATTAGTCAAACATTTAGTGAAACTAACATTGTACAAATGAACTCCAGGGTTAACGATAGCAAACTTAAGTTTAACACGGCTGCAATATTCAACCCTGTTCAAAGTCGGGTATTGGTGGGGTGATTGAGAGAACAAGAGATAAGACAGAAATCTAAAACTTAGGGACATAAGAGAATACAGGGTTAGAGATTAGTCCCATTTCTTGGTGGCATTATAGGTTTTGGGTCCTGCTAGCAAGAGAAGCAGGACACTACCTTGCTTAAGTTTTATGATATACCTCTAAAACCTTAAGCCAATTTTGACGGGTATCATACCTATGACCAAGACTAGTCCCATGATCGAGAAACAGGATATTATATTCCGTGAGCAATTATAACTGTGGGCCTATTCATGAATGTTTGAGTTTAGACAGTACAGAACATCCTACCACCCAATCACTACCCTCATTCTATCAGAAGACAAAACAATGGAATCAGATGGTGGATAAAGGATAAGAGCAGGGGTCACTAAACTACAGCCTACAGGTCAAATCTGGCCCACTAATGTAAATAAAGCTTTATTAGAATAGTCATTCTTGCTCATTTACATATTGAACATGGCAGCTTTTGCTCGACAGAGGCAGAGTAGTCACATAACCTGTTTTATTTACTGCCTGGTCGTAATGGCAAAGTGTGCACACCCATGTCTAGAACATCAAGTTTAGATATGTATTGCAGGGAAAGTGAATAACGTTAGAGTCCTTTGATTAAAAGCAAAATGAAGCTAAAGACAGACTACTTAAATAAGTTATTGAAGAGATGTAGATGGCTCATGCAATTGAGAGAACATCTGTAGGACCAGCTTCTGAGAAGCTGAGACCCAGTGCAGCTCTGGAGATACCAAGAACAGGAGCTATTTGTCTTTTAGATGTGATTGTGTGTGTGTGTGTGTGTGTGTGTGTGTGTGTGTGTACTCATACAAGCTTCTAATCTGTTCTCTAGGGTGGCTTAAGTATGTCTAGTAAAGTTAAGGGAAATATTGAATACTTAGTTCGAAGAAAAGAGCATTTTGGATAAGTGCTTAATACAGAATTCCCAAGTTAGGAAGAATGCTATTAGCGCATGCTGTTGATTTCTGTAAGGTGTGTTCCCAACCCCAGAAAAGCTAGTCTCTTCATGAGTAATTCACCATGACAACAGAAAGGCCATACCTAAGTGTCTTCAGGGGTCCATTCTTTTGTTTTAAAGCCTCAAAGAGCAACGTTACTCCACTCTGTCCCAAGTTATTCTGGAACAGGTCCAGAGTTTCCAGCTTCTCGTTGCTGAGGAGAGCAGACGCAAGGTCCTCACAACATAAAGGAGTGATGGAGCAGCCCCAGAGCCTGATGAAAAAGAACACAGACCTACTTGTTTATCAACCAAGCTCTTATCGAGAACCTACTGTATTGCCAGGCACACTCGTATTTGCTGAGGAAATAGGGGAGATCAAATCACTCTCACTAAAGTAAGCTACATGAGGACATCAAGACATGTCATATGAGAGTGAATAACGGTATTGAAACGAAAATAGATAGGGTAAGTCAACCAGAGAGGAATTGGGTAGATTCTATTTATGTGTCAGTGAAGTCCTCAACAGGAAAAGAGACAAAGAAACTAGAAGGAAGGGAGATAGTGAATCACCATGGTGATTAAGGAAAGGAAGCAACTGTAGCCGAAATGGGGGTGGGGGGTGCACGGGAAGAGTAGACAGAGTTTGGCTCATAACTAACAAGAGGATCCCATAAGACCCTGTAGGCTATTGTAGAAGCTTTAGATTTTATTTTCAGTGAGATGGGGAGATTGAGTCTTTGAAAAATGGAAGTGCCATGATCTGCCTTGCAACTTAAAAGGTCTTTCAGGGTTACGGGTTAAGAAACTTTACAAGATCATTGTCAGAAACGTGCAGACCAGAGATTATGCAACAATCCACGTGAGAACTGGTGGCCCAGATGAGTGTGTTAGCCATTGAGGAAAAGGTGATCAGATGCTAGGTGTCAGGAAGAAGTTATCTCAGCATAGTTTGAATGTGAGCTGTGAAGGAAGAACTAAAGGATCAGAAGGCTAAAGTCAATGAATACAAGGACTGGATTGTTTTTGTGGACCTTATTACTGAGAGTTCAGTTAGTCATATTAGCAATGCATGACATGAACATGTTACTACTTCCATTCCCCACCTCCTTTTCCTAGAGCCCCCTTGAAACTAAAAGGTGCTTTGTAGGAGGAGGTTCTATTTAGGGTAGATATAGATCATGCTAGTTTATGTATAGCTCTACTACGCAGAAGTAATCAGTCTGGAGGAAGCTTGGCTGAAAATTTTAAGTTCCTCAGGTAGATTAAAAAAAAAAAAAAAAACAAGAGCACCCTGTGTTCTATCTAGTGTTTCTTGTCCCTGCAGAGCACTAAGGAAGTAGTCACATTACCAAGATTCTCTTTCCATTAGAGTTTTAGTTGCAAACTAGGTTGCATTAATGAGATACCTCTGGCTGAGAGTTGGAAGAGAAATGATAGAGAGGTCACATCCCATTTATGGAACTACTGTATTTCCGGGGGTGGGGGGTGGGAGTATCCCGTCTCTATAGCTCCCTGGTCACTGGATCCCAGCAAAAGAAGCATGTTCCCGAGATCTACTTCACTGGAGGCCATCCCCACCTATATCCCACTTCTGAATGACTTAAGCATCCAATTACCTATGTTCAATTGCTCTTGAAATTGGACTAGGAGCAACATGCTATAATCTGACATCTTGGGATGTAGAAATTAAGGGTTTCCAAACACTTTCAAAAATGAGCAAAAGCACCTACCCCAGGCATCTTAGGTTACAATTTGGATCCTTTAAAGCTTCACAGAGAAATGACACTCCAGTAGCGATGGGATTGAGACTCAGGTCCAAGTTTGTTAGGCTGGAGTCTTCTTGGAGGATCTTCAAGATATGTTCACAGCCCCGTTTGGTTATGTAGCAGTTCGAGAGCCTACAGCACAATCAAATAGAAGTCTATTATCCCCCCGATTTTATGCCCTGTGAAGCAGTTTTTACTTCCAACACCTACCTCAAAAGCTGTGCACTTCCAAGTGGTCTTGTACATACAAGCATCCAAATGGAGTTATGATTGTTTCCACCTTTCCTAGGCAGCAGAGGATTAAACCAGTCTGTCTGCCGCCTTTTATTATGGAGACACACACATCTAACAGGTTTTCCTGGGACAGCAGCCCATCTTATAGGTCAAGCAAGAGCTTAGCTCTGGGTTTCATTATCTGCATGGTTAGATATTGAGATTCCATCCTTCCTATCTGTTTATGTTTTAAGTCTTAAATTTAATTGGCCCAGCAGAATTGTGATGTACCCAGAAAGCAAAACATTCCTGATAACTCAGTAGCTGGGTTTCTAACAAACACTGTAGGTTCTCCTATAAAAGCATAGGCTTCTACAAATCCTCCTGTTAGGAGGCCAGACCACAGAAGAAGATTGTCACATGATACCTTTAGTCGGATGGATCTGCAATCACCCTAACAGCCGTGTGCCCCTAGAATGGCAGAAGAGCAAGAGAGGGCACAGAACCTCAAGGACACTACAAAGAGCAGATGGATATGTGGATCAAAAGACACTGTACTTTGCATTATGTGAAATTCTAAAATGATGTGAAACTGGAGAGCATGGGAAGAGGAACAAAGTCTAAAATTAGTTCTGACAGCCTACAGAACGGAAGCCTGGTCACACATTCACTTCATATTTTTAAAGTAATGATCACTGACACAGTTTACAGGGAGGGTTTCATACCTATTACACAGATGTGACCAGGGGCAAGCTAAGTAGATAAGGTTCAGATTTCTAACCAGCAAAATTGAAATAAGAATATTTATCTCATGAGATTGTAAGGGCTTAATAAGCCTTGTAAAACTTAGTACAGTTGACCCTTGAACACAGGTTTGAACTACATGGGTCCACTTGTACACAGATTTTTTTCAACCAACCTCTGATCAAGAATACAGCATTCATGAGATACAGAACCCACGTATATGGAGGGCTGACTTTTCACATAGGCAAGGCCTGGGACTTGAGTTGCCATAGATTTTCGTATATGCAAGGGGTGGAGGTATGCACATCCTGGAACCACTCCCCCAAATATACCAAGAGACAACTACATAGTCCCTGATAAACAGTTAAGTGCTTGATAAGTATGGGACATCTTTTATCATTTGTTCAGATGCCTAAATCAACTCTTAAGATTGGGTTATTTACCTAGTGACATCACATATTATTCTAGTGCATATCATTTCAGTAAAGATATTATCTCTTCCCTTTTCTCTGCCACTAGACACAGAAACACTCAAGTCTTAAGTGACTGGGACATGTGTAGATTAAGGTATATCCTAGATTAAGCCATGGCGGGGCGGGGGGGGTCTCTAGGACCAGCTAGAAGCCAACAGGCAATAGGAAGGGCTCCAGAGAAACCAAAACTGGATAAAATTTACATAGAAATATGTCCCCAATCCTATCTTTTGATTGATGCTGAGGCAGAACTTGCTCCCATATAACAAGGGTCAGCAAGCTACAGTCCATGAGTCAAATCCAGTCCACCTCCTGCTTTATTTTTTAAAGAGTTTTAGTGGAACACAATCACATTCACTCCTTTACATGACCACAGCAGAGTTGAATGACTGCCATAGGGATCATATGTCCCACAAAGCCTAAAGTATTTACCATCTGGCCTTTAATGGTGGCAGGGGAGATTTTACTGGCCTGACCAAGTAGCTCAGCCCATCCCAATTGCAGGAAGCAGTATGTCATTGGATTTTAAGAACACACACAAAACAGACTTGAGAACCCCTATCCCAAATCCCCATAGTAGGAAGAAGATTCTGAATGACATGCAAGTAAATAGTAACATCTCCCCTTGTTTCTATTCTTTTTCCCTAATTTTCACCAGGTTCTTAGCATCTATATCTCAAAGGAATTAAATACTTTCATATCTGTCCGACTTGAATCCACATGTTTGGACACAGGCATGCACACCCAGCAAGGACTTACATAAGGGTCTGTAGTTTACATTCAGGGCAACTCAAGCCCTCACCCAGAAGTTTGACCCCACCATCCCCGAGGTCATTCTTGGCCAAGCACAGGTATGTCAGCCTCTGGTTGACCATCAAAACAGAAGCAAAGTCCTTACAGGAGGCTTTTGTAAGATGACAATTTTCCACCCTGCAAAATCAACAAATGAAAAAATGGTGGGAACATTTCCAAAGTCTAAACTTCTTGGCTATCTCCAAATGCCAGGGTCCCTCAGCTAGCATTTGCCAAACTCCCTGCCTTCTTTCTACCACGTGCTAGCGATCAGCCATAAAGAGACAAATAACAAGATGCACCAGCCATCTACCTGGGACCAAAAAACGGGAAGCAGGTATTTACACCAATTAAAGGTTCCATACAGGCTGCCCAGCAAGTCTGGTGTTACAGTGCTACTGTTACAATGCTACTGTTACTCTATGGCCCAAGATCTAAAATGGAGATGCTCCACAGGAAAGGAGACTTACGATAACCTCTGCAGAGAACATTTTGGATGTCTCAAAGTCGCACACAGCACCTTGGCACCCTCATCCAGGAGCTCATTGTCTGAGAGGTCCAGGTACATCAGGGACTGGTTGATTTTGAGGGCCGAGGAGAAATCAGCCCATTGCTGAGTGGTGGCAGAACTAGATCCCAACCTGTGATATGAATAGGAGGCAAGTCATTTTTCCAGAAGGACAGGAGACCACATTAGCTTACTATTCTTTGCTTCCCTAAAGATCCTGCATTTGGGCTGTTTACAGTTTGGAACTACAATAAAACTTCTATGAACATTTTTTTCTTCTTTCCTTAAAACACAAAAGATCATGTCCTTGGGTGTATCTCACTTTACTTCAGTAGGTATCCAGCCAGCCCTGGCCTGAATTACTGGAGAGATCTGGTCTCCTTTGTTTCAAGTATCCTCATAGCCCCTTCTCCAAAAGAAAAAAAAAAATGTTAACACAATTCTGTTTCATGGATGCTTGGATTTAATACAGTAGTTCCTACTTATCCACGGATGTTACGTCCTGAGACCCACAGTGGATGCCCAAAACCAGACAGCATCTAACCCTATATGAGGACACTTCAAAGTTTGTGGAAAAATAGGATTAAAGGATCTTTCTACAAACTCTTGCCCTCATATGAGAATACCATGTTTCTTTTCTACTTATACAACATACCTATGGATAAGATAGGCACAGTAAGAGGTAGTAATAACTTGTTACTGTGTATTATAACATGTTATGTTAATGTGGTCTCTCAGAAATTTATTGTACTGTACTCACCTTTATTTGAGCCACAGCTGACTACAGGTAACTAAACCCACAGAAAGCAAAGCCACTGAACAGAATAGACTAGCGTATGTGATTCTATAGGGAAAAAATTGATGCTCCATACCCGAATTAAAAGTTCATCTTTGTAACTTTCAGGGAATATAAAAATTAAAGCAACGAGATAGGGGAGAGGGAGGAGGAGGAAGATTTCGGTAATGGGCCACAATAATCAACCACATTGTATAATGACAAAATAAAATAAAGTTTAAAAACAATTAAAGCAACAAGATACAATTTGATACTTAAACAGTCAGGTCTAAAAATGTTAGGCTTAAGTTTTGCAAGGATAAGGGGAATTAGGAACTCCTCCAGTTGATGGGAATATGAAAGCCGCACATCTGAGAACAGACAATCCATTAATCCATTTACCTTGGAATTTGAAACCTGACTATTCTTGCAAACACTCAAATATCCTCAAAGAGTTCACCACAGATAAGACTAAGTCATGGTCCTGTCTCTTATGTCCAGAATCTCTACAAGTTACTTAAACTTTGTAATATTCATTTTTCTTCACATCTATACTTCGGGGGAAAGTAATACCTTCATGTCAAACAAAGAATACAGCCCATCTGCATTGTGTGCCATGTAAAATTGGAGTTCTTAGAATTAGTGCCTTTCTTCTCTTGGAGCTTAACCTATAATAAGGATATTGTACATCTATTTATGTCATCAGGATACAAGATGGATTAAATGCCTCAAATCAGATGAAAATAAGATTCTATATCAGCCACTTTACATTTTGGCATTTCCATGCATCTACTGAGAAACATCAAGATTTTAAAGCTTTAGGTTTTTCTAAGTAAATGAAAAAAACAGCAGCAGCATCAGAAATCAAAATGATATGAGCTATCGTTTATTCCTGTCCCCTGTGCAAAGCAGTTCACGTGCATGTTTTATTCAATTCTCAAAATCCCATCTTATGGATGAAACAGCTCAAAATCATATGGGTCATAAACATCAGAGCAAGAATTTGAGCTCATCGTTTCCAATTCTAAAGACTTGTACCTCTCACCAGTACCCTGGGTTGCTACTCAACTAAAAGAAAAAAGTGGTACCCTAAGACTGATGATAATAATACTCATCAGGAGAGCTATCTGAAGAGATGGACTTTCAAACCAGTGAGCTACTAGTAACCAGGACACTTGACTTTATCACAGCATCACTGAGTGGTCAACTGAAGTCAATGGCTGCTCTTAGTAACCAGTAGGCAATATGCATTTTGGAAAGTCATGATGACAGAATTCTTGGTTTCTTTGCCCTCAGGGTTAGTTATTCAATGCAGAGACAAACTGGTGGGAGAATAAAGGCCAGCACACCACCTAGGTCTATTTGAGAGATGAGTCCCCCATTTGGAATGGCATCCTATCACAGTGGCTACCCTTCTTTTGGTTCCCTCAGCAACACTATACAGCTCAGTCTGGATACTAGGATAGCAATGACCATGAGGATCTACCTCAGATACTGCAGGTTGCATCTTGGGTGTTTGAGGGTCTCACACAACATCGCCAACATCATCTCATCCCACTGGACACAGCCCTCTATCGTCAGGTGAGTCAAGGTCTTCTTACCAATGAAAGCCAGACAGAAATCTCGATAAGCATCTGTAGGGAAGACATTTCTAATCCTAAGGAAAAAGTAGAAAAAAGGGATTTCATCTTGTGCTTATCCTTATGTTGCTCAGAGGCATATGTAAACAAAGCTGTAATATGTTTCAGAACTATTACAAGTTCTCATTTCTTCAGTCGTCTCAACCTTTCAAAGGGAAGTAATGAACCACATTTCATTTCAAACAAGTGCTATTTTGCTCTACGGCTGGTTGAAAAAAAGAGTGACAATGTCTTCTCCCCTAAATTTTGGAAACAAGCACATTTTCTAACACATCTTATAAGAAGAATTCATTAGGAAGTGTCCTACAACAAGGTTCAGAACCCACTGCTAATGAAACAGTAGGTTGACAAGAGACATTTATCTGCAGAGGATGAAAACTCCAGCTTGTGTAAATCTTAGCTTAACTGAGTCTGTAATGAGAAAGCAAAACAGTAACTTAGCTAACTGAATGGTGGTTAGGTCTGTTTTCTTATTTCCTTGAGCCTTTTCACAGCATATGATTTATAGAAATAAACTATATTTAGGTACAGGAAGACTCTACAAGACTTTGTTATAGTTGAGCAGCGTAAGAAGTGACTGGCTCAAATTCTAGGTATTTAGTTTCACGTCTTCACTCCTTCCAAGGTTCCTTCAGCCCCTGCCTATGTCTTCCCAGACTCCTGAGACTAAGATCACTTCTAAGGATCCCCATATCTCCTTGTGTTCGCACTTGTGTGATTCCGAGTGAGTGGGACATATATGTGTCTTTCTTCTAGCCAGTTAGGGCAAAGGTGTTGGAAAGAGCATGATTAAGTGGTTACATTACATAAAGTAGTAGCACCGACCAGATGGGAGTCCACCCCTGACCGGCCTAGGAAGTGTTCTACCAGTGGTAGCTGGTAGGAAAAAGGAGGGGACTACTAATAGAAGCAGTGTACAATGATGGGAGGCAAAAACGGAGCAGGCTTGGTAGACCCTGTCTCTGCTCATGCTGTTCTCGGATGAAACATCCCTATCCTTCATTTCCTTCAACATCCAGCTCACACATACTCCCCGCCCCCACCCCCCGCGCAATGCCTACTGACTGTCTATACTTTTTACTTAGTATACCCCCATATAGTCATATCTCTACAAAGCACCATTTATTCAGGCCATAGGAAGTTAAGGTTTATAATTATGGACACCTTGGAAGTATGAGCCAGTAACGGCTTTTAATGATTTCCCTGTTATCTTGTATGGTTGTACAAGTAAAAAAGGGATAGAAGTAAATCTGAGATGGGATATAACATGAATTTTTTTTCTAAACCAACTCCAGGCATCAAGGAAAAACTCAACATTAAAAAATGATTTTTCTTTCTTATGGCATCGTAAGAATTGGCCAAAAAAAAAAAAAAAAAAAAAAAAAAAAAAAAAAAAAAAACCAATTGGTCTCATACTGAAGCTAGCTCCTAAATTCCTATATTAGATATATAATGAAATAGATTAACTTTTTTCAGGGCTGCCTTTTGAGATATGCTTAATCTACCCGAATTTGAGACAGAATTTGAAAAACCTCTATTATTCTACTACACTTTTAATTCAGATCTTCATTTTCACTTTATTTTTAAGACTTCTTAGCCTGTTTTCATCTAACACCTCCAGATGACACATCTACCTACTCTGTTCAGGGGATGAAATGAATGAATTCTTCTCCCTCAACCTTGAACTGGTCTTGTTACACTCAACCATTTAAGTAGTGAAAATTCCCTACGGCTTTTCAAAGGCAGCCTCAAAATTCAGTCCTCAGAGGAACAGATACCCCCTGATTAGAATTCCTGTTGAAGTTCTCCTAAACTCTTACTACACAAATTAGAAGTGCCTTCCCCCCAACCCATGTAACTCCTTACAAAACTGGAGCAATACAAATATTTCAAGGTCATACAGAAGACATGTTGCCACCATTGCCAACACCAAACTATTGTTAGATTCTTTTGCTTTGTACGTAGAAGTTGCATGGCATAGCCACAGGTAGGCCACCCTCCTGAAATAAGCTACCTGTCACCTGACATCAACAGGTAGTCAATTCATGTTTAGCATAGTTATGTATTCTAGGTAACTAAGACACTGAAAATTTAGTGCTATTTAAGTCTGCTAAGGCATGTTGGCTTGAGCTATAGTTTCAGCAATGTACCCACATGTGATTATGACAAGAACTTATCCCTCAACACATGTTGGTTTGAAAGTATGTGATACATTATGACAAATGAAATAGGCCAGGCGGCACGGAAAGTCAAATACTGGATGATCTTATATGCAGAATCAAGTAGAGTATAGAAATGGGGGTTACCAGCAGCTGGGGGGGAGAAAGGTGTATGAAGAAGAGATGGTAGCCAAAGCAAACAAAGTTCCAGTTAGGAAGAATAAGTTCTAGTGATCTACTGCATATGACAGAAAACAATGTATTGTGTATTTCAAAATTGCTAAGAGCAGGTTTTCCATGTTCTCAAAAAAGTATGAGAGGTGATAGATAAGTTAATTAGCTTGATTTAACCATTCTACAATGTATGTGTAACATATTACACTAAGTAATTGTCTTATGGAGTACAATTAAGTCTTAAACTTAGAGAACACACCAAGAAAAATATTTTAAAAAGGATGTTACCCACCTAGGTAGTCTTGGTTTGCATCTGTTTCAACTTAATTATTCAGACTCATTTCTCAGTGCCATTCCCATAACACTAGTTATAGATTCTGACTATTTCTTTACCAATACTCTTATTCACACACTTGACAATGTGCTCTCTGGAATATTTCCTCAATTCCCACCCGGGTCCTCCTGACATATGCCTCCATTTCCAGCAGGTTGAGTTCCAAATACACCCCCACTGTGGATGTTTGGATAAACTCTTGGCCAAATTTCCTGAAAATGACTTGATGTAATACGATTCTCTCACTCAACTAGCTTAAGGATGGGAACTATTTCCTTTTTATTATACCTGTGCACCTGATCAAGGCGTTCAAATACTGTTCGCATATTAAAAATGCAAAAAGCTTGGCCACACCGAAAAATCTTCATCACAAAATTAGCTTCTACTTACACCACTTTCTGCAGATGACAGGTGACACGGGTTATATAATCACAAAGAATCCTCACTGTGGAGTCACTCAGAAAGCTTTGACTCACATCCAGAAAGCTCAGAGTCCTGTTTGAGCTGACCACAGAGCACAGATTTCTCCAGTGGTGAAGAATATAGTAGTCGGCTTGAGACCTAGAAGTGATGGACAAGAGCACCTGTTGAAAAGTACACAAGAGCTGGCTGGTTAGCTCAGTTGGTTAGAGCACAACCTTATAACATCAAGGTCATGGATTCGGAATTCCGTACCCACTAGCCATGGAAAATAAAAGTACATATGCCATACCAGCAAGCTGCCAAAAAAAAGTACGTATGGTATATAGCAGATCACGGATCTATTCATCTTGTACAACCAAAACTCGGTACCCTTTAGCCAATAACTATATGGTTTGTCATAGTAATTTATTCCAACTAAATGGCACTATACTATCAGTGGCTGAAGTCTAAGGTGTGTTGGTTTTAGGAAAAGTTTCAATGTTTATCTGTATGTAATTTTTGAAAACAAAGTTTCATCCTTTGAACATGTGCTGGTTTGACAGCATGTCAGGTGTAGGTTTAGAGTGTTTACTCAGAAGTTTAGTGCCTACAGTTAGCAAATTTATATACCACAGTATTGTTAAGAGGGTTCATCTTATGTTTTATCATGAAAAAATAAGAGCACAGGAGGAAACTTTTGGAGGTAACAGACAGGTTTATGATATACATTGTGGTGATAGTTCCACAGGTGTGTACTTATATCCAAACTCACATTGTATAGATACATTACATATGCAGAGCTTTTTGTATGTCAGTCATCCTTCTGAAGTGGTATAAGCTTTGATGATTTTGCACAAAATGGTGACTGTAATTAACAATGCATGTTATACTTTAAATTTTTTCACCACAAAAAATGTGAGGTGATGAATTTGTTAATTAACTTGATTACATTCTATAGTATAAATATACATAGAAACATCCCATTGTACCCCATAATAATTTAAGATCACTTTTAATTGACAAAAATTAAGTTTAAGAAATAAACCAAGAACAGAAAAATACATGTAGGAAAAAAATATAAGTATTGGTGGGGAGAGAAAATATGAAATGGTGACATGTCTAGAGTTATCCATAGGACCTAGTCCTCACAAGAAAACTACAGGGGTCTTCAAAAAGTTCAAAGATTCATGTTAATTCTATTTTTCCATGAACTTTTTGAAGTACCCTCTTACAACACTAACAAGGTCTGACTCCAAAGCCTCCATCCCTAATCACAATGTCATGTCTCCCACCTGGAATGTTAAGCAGGAAGAAAGTACAGCAAGAAGAAAATTGTGACCCTAAGCCACAGGGAACAGGAGACTCTGGCCGCTTCTTAATAAAACATGGGAAGAGGATAAAGTCAAAAATAGAGTAAAACAGTTCTTACCTCTCAAACTGAGGTGCTGATTCTGAGGTATCATTCTCCAAGAATATCCCCTTGGCTACCTGCAGTGTAAGTTCCTGCAAGTTCTGGCAATGCTTGAGGCAG